AGTGCCCTGACAGCTGCTGCTTTCCCTCCCAGGGGCAGCTCTGCCGGCATGACTTCTGTTGCTGGCCCTATTTTGGAACCAGCGCTGGGGCAGTCGGGAGTGGGAACAGGAGGATGTGATGCCTTGGGCAGAAGGGGCTGGTGAGGGTACCCACAGTCCCCTGGGGGGACCTCAGACCTGCTGTGTTTTGAAGTGTGACTTTCTGCAGGGACTCAGCCTCTGTGGGGGCTCTTTGCGGCAACTTTGGGGAAATCCCCATTCCCTGCCTCAGAGCTGAGAGTGGGTCTGTCCCTTTGAATCAGACGGGACCTGCTGCTGGGGAACACCTCTTTGTGCTCCACTTTGCTGGAAGAAGGCATTGGATGATGTGCTTACTTGAAGGCAAGATGGGGGACCGCATGGAGACTTGACGTGAGTGCAGGGGTGTCCACTTTGACCAGGAACTGGACAAAGCTGGGGTCCCTGCTGCTCACCTAGCTGGGCACTCCTGCCTTATGCTCAGCTCTGGTTCCTCTTGTGCATTCACAACTGTGTTTTCAGAGCAGAGGCTCTGAGCAGTGTCCTAGCCTCTTCATCAGGCTTGATCTGCCCTGCTGGCACTGGAGCTGAAGTCAGGTCTCACCAGCAGAGTAGGGCAGTGGCTGGCCGCAGCCTGACCATAGGGTGTCTCAGCAGGATTGGAACCGTGGCTGGAGCTGCCTGCCTCCCTGTGCCCAGAAGATGACCAGGTTGCTCTTGGGGGTGACCCTGGAAAGGATTTGCAAGGCCGTGCTGCTGCTCTGCCTGCTCCACTTTGTCATCATCATGATTCTCTACTTTGATGTCTACGCGCAGCACCTGGACTTCTTCAGCCGCTTCAATGCCAGGAACACCTCGCGCGTGCATTCTTTCTCCAACTCCTCTCGGCCCAACAGCACGGCTCCCAGCTATGGCCCAGCTGGCGCTGAGCCCCCGTCCCCCAGCGCCAAGCCCAACACCAACCGTTCTGTCACAGAGAAGCCCTTGCAGCCCTGCCAGGAGATGCCCTCTGGCTTAGGTGAGATGTGCAGGATGAGGGGGGGAGGTTGGGTGCTGGTGGAGGATGTCCCTGAGCAAGGCTTTCTGGTGGTCCCAGGGTGGAGAAACTCAAGGCTTACATTGGTACCAGCACAGTTGATAGCAAATGGAAAAGGTTTTGTGAATCCTTTGTCCTCGGCAGTGCTGGTCCCCCCCCGTGGGTCCCCTTTGTTTGCTCTGCTGACCCAAGTGGGAGCAGCAGGTGACCATGACCTGTCCTGTGTCCTCTACTGCTGCCATCGCTCTGCCTGGGCTCTTGCAGTCGGGCGCCTGCTCATCGAGTTCAGCTCCCCTATGAGCATGGAGCGAGTGCAGCGAGAGAACCCCGATGTGCGCCTGGGTGGCAAGTACACCCCCCCAGATTGCCTGCCCCGGCAGAAGGTGGCCATCCTCATCCCCTTCCGGCACCGTGAGCACCACCTCAAATACTGGCTGCACTACCTGCACCCCATCCTGCGCCGGCAGAAGGTGGCTTATGGCATCTACATCATCAACCAGGTGAGTAGTGCAGGGGCTATAGTGGGCAGTGGGGCTATAGTGGACAGTCTGTGCATTGCTGAGCTCTGTGCCATGTGTTCTTGTCCACAGTATGGCGAGGACACCTTCAACCGGGCTAAACTGCTCAATGTGGGCTTCCTGGAGGCACTCAAGGATGACGAGGAGTACGACTGCTTCATTTTCAGCGATGTGGACCTCATCCCCATGGATGACCGCAACCTATACCGCTGCTATGAGCAGCCACGGCACTTTGCTGTTGGCATGGACAAGTTTGGGTTCAGGTGGGCGCCTGTGCAGCTGTGATGTTCAGGGTAGGGCTGGAATGGCCCTTGTGGGGTTAAAGCCAGGGATGTCTGGTGGTTGCCTGGGGCGTGCATAGGGTCAGTGGCTTAATTTGAGGACATGAGATGGCAGAGGGTGCAAGGCCTTCAGAGTGTCACAGTGAAGGGCTGTTGCTTGTCTATGGATTTGGGGTCCCCAGTGGGACTGGTCCTGTTCCTTGCCTGCTCCTGATCTCTTTGCTCTCACTCTGCAGGTTGCCCTATGCAGGGTATTTCGGCGGTGTCTCTGGGCTGAGCAAGTCCCAGTTCCTAAAGATCAATGGCTTTCCCAACGAGTACTGGGGCTGGGGAGGAGAGGACGATGACATCTTTAATCGGTAGGTGCCGCTCCTTGGCTCAGAAGTTGCTGGGATTTGCTGGTACTCCCTGCTGAGAACAGCCCTGGCGCAGTAAGCAGACACGAGCTCCATGTCTGCAGGGTACATGCGTGTTGGGTCCCTGCCACGTAACAAAGAGGAGTTTAATTACCCTCTGTGTGCTCCAGGTTGCCAGGACTGGGAACAGCACGCTTGTGCCATGAATCGAACTAGCATGTTTGGGGGTGTTGGGCAGCACTTGGAAGTGAATCTGTCTGGCATGGTGGGGCCCAGCCTCCCCCTCTTGCTCTTTGTGATCAGTATACTGTGATTTCAAACCACATGAGCAGGAAAGCCTGCCTGCAGGCACTGTTCCAGGCTGGGATCAGGATATATAAAACTTGAAAGTGGCTCCGTAGTGACTGCTCAGCACCGGAACAGGCACTTCTGCCTGCAGCCAGCAGGCTGCAGCAGATCCACGTGTAAATCCTTCCGTTTGATACAGGAGCCAGAGAACTTCAGCACTGTTTCCAGCACGGCCTGTGACACTGCCCAGCAGTGACACACATGAGCAACTTGTGGCTCGTGTGGCACTACAGCACCTCAGGGTGGCATAAGCTGATAATCCTTAGCAAATGCTGTGTGGCAGAGCGTTTGTGGTCCCCCTCTGGAAGTAAGCAGCTCAAAGACATGATCCCAGATGAGGCAAAGTGCAGCATGCTGAGCTTTCTGGGAGATTTAGCCAGCCATTAAAATGTGTGAAGGGGCCTGAGGGGGCTGTGTCACCACTTGGCTGCTCTAGCAGCTGAATCTCAGCTTGCTCACTTACCAAGCCAGAGGTGGTTGTGTGGCTGGGATGAGGAGAGGTTTCTCTTCGTGAGCTGGGATCTCTCCAGCTTTCTTAGTCCCACTTGGCCTCTCAACTTTAAATGAACTATTCTAGGCGGAGAAGATCTCTCCCCACCTGCTGGCTGCACAGGCAGAAAAAAGCAATTGAGGCCAGAGCTGTGCTGCATGAAGGGAAGGGCAGGGCTCTGGCATTTGGAGAATGTAAACAGCAGTGGCTTCAGAGCTATGGAGGAATAGTGGAGTTTGCTTAGCACCAGCTGTCTGCCTGAAGTGCTGAAGGTCTCCTGAAGCTGGTAGTGTTTTGGTCATGGCCTGCTGTTGAGTGAGCTACATCCTTGGCCATGGGCACTGTCATAGCTGTGGCCTGGCTTAGCACAACTTTGTTTCTCATTTAGCTATGGACAGGTTTATTTTTGATGAAGACCCTTGGGAAAATATCCTACCCTGGTGTCCTGGTGGCACACTGATCCCCATCTGCTTGCATCCTCCAGGATCTCCCTGAATGGTATGAAGGTGTCGAGGCCTGACATCCGCATCGGGAGGTATCGCATGATCAAGCACGAACGTGACAAACACAATGAGCCCAACCCACAGAGGTGAGCTGGAGGTGCCAAGCCCTTGCTACTGTACCTGTGGCTATCAGTTTTGCTCATGCCTCTGAGGTCCTACTTTGGGCTCACTGGCATGCTGCCATTGCAGCAGGCATCCCCCTTCACCCCCGCCTCATCCCGCTCCTGTTTCCACCAGATTCACCAAGATCCAGAACACCAAAATGACCATGAAGCGGGATGGGATCAGCTCACTGCAGTACCGGCTGGTGGAGGTGTCACGCCAGCCCATGTACACCAACATCACGGTGGAGATTGGCAGGCCGCCCCCACGCTTGGCCCGGGGTTAGTGCTTGCCCTGCAGGCAAAGCTGCATGGAGCTGGTGCTCTGTGCCAAGGCTGGCTGGACGCTGTGGATGTTGCCCCAGCCCCCGGGCAAGGACTGAACGGGGATGTTTTCTGCCTACTCTGCTGCCTTTTGGAGACGGCTGTGCCCCAGCCCACCTGTTGGTCCTGAGGATTTCTGCAATCTGTTGTCCCCCCCCTTTCCCTATCCTTACAAGTGTGTTTCCAGAACCCCCATATTATGCGTGTTGGCTGAAGCACCCGTCTGCCCTGCGCGCAGCTCCCAGACAGAGGGAGGGGACAATCCCAGCCCCGGTGAGGAGCCCCTTGCCCATGCTGGCTCCTGCCTGCACCCTAGGAGCAAAGGATGAGCCCCAAGGTCAGCCTAGCACCCAGTCCCTGGTGCTGCGAGAAGTGGGGTGCAGGCTTCCCCCTTCGCCAGTGCTGGAGCTGTTACTACCCTGGCTGAAGGCAGGGGGAGTAGGCCAGGCCCCCACAGCAGGCAGGGTCGGACACACAGATGTGGCTCGCTGTCTTCCTCTGCTTTAGTCTGGTGCTCAGGGCTGGGTCTCAGCTCTGCTAAACAGCGACCTCTGGTTAGCAAACACCCCTTGCTGTGCCTCAGTTTCCTCGGGGCTGGCAGCCACGTCCCCTTTTCCCTCTCTGAAGGCAGATGCTGTGTGCGTGTCCCTGTTAACCCACACGTGCACCAGCTCTCCCCACTTTGGGCAATAGGGTGACGTGAAACCTCAGAGCCCCTCTTGGCCAGGGGGCTGCCCCGGGGCTCTCCACCCAGATGCTATTTGCAGGCAGTGGGGACTGGCTGGCTCTGCCCTTGCTGCTCTCCAGCTTCCCCTCTTCAGCTCTGGGGCAGGGAGGAGAGGACAGGGCCATGTGGGGCAGGTGCCCCATCTCTCCCCACTTCCCCTCCTTGGGGCTGGGGGCACAGCCACCCCTCTGCAGCCAGCTGGAAGAGCTGGGCAGCAGGGGCACTGGCAACTTTTGTACATTTGAATGTGACCCTTTTTTTGAGCGTACATTGAATGCAGCATTCGGTCGTAGAGACCTGGGTTTTTGTATTTAATAAAAATTTCAAAAGTTCACAGGATTCCTAGTGGGAGATCACCATGGGGAAAGGGTAGTTTCTGTCAGCTGGTGAGATGGGTATGCCATGCATCTGCTGGAGATGCACATGCACCAGGCAGAGCACCTGGCTGGCCGTGTGGTGCTTGCTGGGCAAGGAGGTGGAAGATCACAGCATCTAGCTGCAAGTCAAAGCGGGTACAGCCCCTGCATCCCTCAAACCAGGGGCTGCAGGACAAGGTCCCACCTTCTGCTCTCCCAACCCTCAGAGCTGGTCCCTACTTGGTCAGCCCTGGTATCACCTGTCCTGCAGAGGGCTCTGCTACCCATCTTGGCTGCTCGGTGTCAGCCACCCAAGGAGGAAAAGGTGCACCTAAGGGAGGTGATCTCCTGCTCCTACTATCTCCCTCCCCGGGTCCCCAAGAAAGGGCACAGCAGGACACGGACACAGGAATATAAATCTCATTAAAATCTAGGATACTTTAGAAGTCTACACCGGGAGAGACACTGGCACAGGCAGCGCTACCCAGGGACGCACGCGTTATTGCTAACAATTAGAGGTGAACAGTAGCGTCGTGACACATGGGGCAGGGCATGGGCACCATGCAGGAAACCGCGCCTCTCCGCCACACCTGACGGGGGAGCTCGGGTCGGGGCCACGGGAGCTGGAACATCCTTGCCGGGGCTCAGCGCCCTGCTGCCCCTCGCCGTATCCCCACCATGCTGAATCCCTGTGCAAGTCTCAGGGCACAGGGAGCACGGTGCTGGCTGGCAGGGGAGCGGCTGGGGTGGGAAGGGTCCCATCCTCCCCCAAACCCAGAGCTACAGCACGTTGGCTGTAGTTGGAAGACAGATTGAAAATCGCCTGGCCTTCCCAGCGCATCCTGCTCCACTAATACTGGTTGGGGACAAAGTGTACCCAAAAGATGGCTCGGAGCGAGTGGGCTGGCTCAGCCCTCCACACCTCCCCTGGTACCTCTTGCTAGCAGCAGCTGAGGGCCAATCCACCCTGCTCCCCCTTAGCACCATGGAAGGTCCCCAACACGTGCCAGGCAGCGGGGCCACCAGGCACCCACGCTGCCCACGGCTGCTCCCAGCTTTGCTGGGACAACTGCAGCCCCCAGCACGGGGTGTGCTGCATGGACGGGGTTGTGCACACTGTGTGCGTGCGCAATGCACAGTGTGCCTCCTGCACAGCTGCAGGTACTGAGTGTGCGTGCCCATGTGCGTGGGGTGTGCGCTCACCCTCACGCACGCGTGCCTAAGTGCTTGTACCGTGTGCTGCTGGTGCAGGCAGCGTGCTCACCCCATTCCCCCCTGTGCTCCATGCACTGCTGGGGGATCCCTGCCACGTCACCCCCTGCCACCATGGCCCTGTGGGACCAGGCCCAGGAGATTCATGTCCTGTCCCAGGCACAATGCCCCCACAGTGTCCCCACTCCCACCTGATGCCCTCTCCACCTGTGCGGCCTTGAGGGTACCGGTCCCCTGCAAAGTGCCTCTGGCTCCCGGCCCTCCCAGGGCTGTGCCCTCTCCTCTCTTGTCCCAGCATCGCACATGAAGGTTACCGTAAACATGGGGGTTAACAAACGCCACAGAGGGGAGGGGGTTAACCAGAGAGGAGGTCGGGGGTCTCGGGGACGGTCGCTGAGAGCCCCCCGCCATCCGGTGCGGCCTGGAGCCAGGCTCCGCCAGCGGAAGGTGCGAAAGTGTCACCGCGCGGGAGGGGTTAGAGGGGTGCGGGGACGGCGGGGGGTCACAGTCTGGAGTCCTGGCTGTGAGCCGAGCCGTTGCTGCCCTGAGCAGGGGACGCAGCCGCGGCCTCGTTCCGTGCTTTCTCCGGGTGCAGGGGCTGCACCTCCAGGTGGGACTCGGTGGAGGGGCTGAATGCTGGGGCGTAGCGCCCGCTGCGGTGCTCTGCCAGCGCCGGGCCCCAGTCCTTGCTTGCCTTGGTTGCGTTTTTCAAGCGCTGGAAAGAAACGGAGATGGTGGGGGACAAGGTCAGCGTCACCATCACACCCTGCCCCAGCCACCCCAGCAGCTTCCATCCATCCCATGGGTGCTGCCTGCACACAGTGGGGTGCTGAAAGCTCCAGGGTAAGGGACAGCCCCCAGGTAGGACATGGGGACCAGACTCAGTCACCCACCTCCAGTAGCGTGTCCCCCTCAGAGTGGCACACTTTGTAGATGGCATAGATGGGGATGCAGATGACAGAGGAGAGCGCCATGAGGAAACCGATGCTGATGGCCCAGGTAGGGTAGACGTACTCATTGTAGGAGATGGGTCGGTACTGGATCACTGTGAAGACCAGGATGAACTGGGGAGGGACAGGCAGGATCAGCTGGTGGGGAGCAGCCAGACCTGCTCTGTTCCCCCCACACCTGTGCCCCACCTCCCACAGCCCCCGTGCCCCCTGGTTGCGATGCTCACAAAGATGATGGCAGGGGAGATGAAGCGCCAGCAGATCTGGAAGAAGAGTGGCGGCGGGAAGCCTAGCATCATCTCGATGTCCTTAAAGTAGTTGCGGTGCCCTGTGGGGACAGGCGGCTGTCAGCCCCCATGGTGGGACTCTCATGCCTGGCACACCTCAAGATGTTGGCACGCAGAAAGCCACTAACTGGGCAGTCATGGGAAACCTACCGTAGATGTACATGATGGCAACACACATGATGCAAGAGATGACAACCAGGGAGAAGCTGGCAGCATAGTTGTCCATCAACAGCAGCCAGTAGATGCCCGCCTGTGAGAAGGATGTGTTGGAGTGGCACCTCCATGGCAACACGCTACCTGGGTGCCACCACAGTTGGCATGGCAACAGCAAGCCCTGGGTGTCACCACCACCATGGGCTGTCATGGCAACAAGGCAATCATCGTTATGGCAATGGCCAGTTGCTACAGGTGGCACCACAACAAGCCAGGCCAACACTATAAGCTCTGGTGTGGCACTGGTGCCATCGTGGTCACACAGCAACACCAGGCCACAAGAACCAAAAGCAGTGGTTATGGCAATGGTGCCGATTTGATTCACTGTGTCAACACAGTAAGGTCACCACGGCAGCGGCGTGGGCCCCTGTCCCTACTGGCACCCAAAAACACCCTACCTGTGTGGTGAGTGGGATGCCTAGCAGGAAGCCTGCCACAGCCACCCCCAGTGTCACAAAGGTCTTCCTGCGGATGATCCACTCATTGCCCACCTCATCCACAATGGCCGTGACCAGTGTCTCCAGTAGGCAGAACTGTGTGTGGGCAGAAAGGACAGCTTGTCATCTGGGAAGCACCACCCCACCCCCAGCACATCAGCCTGGCCCCATATCATGTCACTCCATCCCCACTGCGTCACCCTGGCCCCATCACGGCATTTCAGTCCCACCATGTAACCTTCACCTCACCACCCTGTGCTCTACCTGTGTGCCCAGCCCCAGGAGGATGAGCATGAAAAAGAAGAGGATGGACCAGAGTGGAGAGATAGGCAGTAGGGTGAGGGCCTCAGGATAGGCGACGAAGGCCAAGCCGGGGCCATGGTCGGCCACCTTGGAGATGTCCACGCCCAGGTGGTTGGCCATGAAGCCCAGGATGGAGAAGATGACAAAGCCGGCATAGACGCTGGTGGCGCAGTTGGTGATGCTGATGATGATGCTGTCCCTGTTGGAAGAGATGGGTCAGGGCCGACGGTGGGGGCTGGGGAGCAGCAGAGAGCCCGATGGCACTCACCGGTAGCAGTTGTTGTGGAACTTGTTGTAGGATGCCATGGTGATGAGCCCACCCCAGGCGCAGCCCAGCGAGTAGAAGATCTGCGAGGCTGCGTCACCCCACACCTGCACCCAAGGAAAGGGTCAGCACCACGTCACAGGCCCCCCACCCCCACTGTCCCTTGTCCCTGCTCACCTTGGCATCGAGGATCTTGTCCCACTGTGGGGTCAGGTAGTACATGATGCCAGTGAGGGCCCCTTCCAGCGTGATGCCGCGCACGAAGAGGATGGTGAGCACCACATAGGGGAAAGTGGCCGTGAAGTACACCACCTGTGGGGAGGGATCTCAGTGGGTGGGGCCATGGAACAAAGGATGGGGCTCTAGGCCAGGGGTTGGTGGGGCTATGGGCCACGGAAGGAGTGCCTATGACCACATGGGAAGAGCTGTGCCCAGAAGGGGAGTGGCCATATCTACAATGGGAGACACATTCCTGATAGGGGAAGCTGCAACCAAAGGATGTGTGGCCAAGCACATAGCGGTGTGGCCATGTCCATATGGGGGCACGGTCATGCCCAGAAGGAGGCATGGTCTAGAGAGGGAGCAGGTGATACCTTTCCCGAGGACTTGACGCCTTTGATGAGGCAGAGGAAGACGACGACCCATGAGACGCCGAGGCAGCCCAGGAGGGGCAGCCGCACCTCGCCCAGGTTCCCGATGTCATCTGAGAGGTTGAGCACGTACCTCCTGCAGGGGGGGACAGCGGGTTCAGCAGTGCTCTACTGCTACTGCCTCCCGCCCGCTTCCCCCCTAGTACCTCCAGTACTCCTTGCTGGGGCTGGTGCGCTTCTGGGTAGCATTGAAGAGGCGGGTGAGGTTGACAGCAGCATGGCTGGAGAGGTTCCCATCCAACACCCCCACGCAGTCGGGCGTGTTCCAGGCGTTGCTGCAGTACGTCCAGGGCAGCACACGCGTCATGGACACAAAGAAGTAGTAGAAGGCAATACAGATCACCACGTTGTAGTAGATCCCGATGTATGTGGACACCACCATCATCCCGTAGCCCACGCCTGGGAACAGCACCGGGGAGGGGTGAGCGGCACGGCGCGGGCAGCATGGGTAGTCGCGGCTGGGGGCGGGTGGCAATAGGGTGAGGAACATGCAGGATGCAGGGTCTTCCTTAGGGCATATAGGGTGTAGCGCTCGCAAGGCTGCAGGCAACCCCTTGGGGTCTGCAGAGCTGGGGGCTGGAACAGCCATGGTAACTTGAGGGCTGCAGGAACCTGGTGACAGTGCCATGCTACAACAGGAAAATGCACCATGAGTTGAGCACACCGTGGTGGCCCAAGTGCCTCTATGGGGATGGCACGTGGCAGCCACGTGTGGCGTGTGCAGGGACGTGTGTGTAATGCTGCAGGGAATGGTAGCGCTGGGCAGGGGCGTTCCTTGTGTGCAAGGTGTGCAGGGAGTGCCAGGAAGCCTGTGCGTGCAGGTGGTGCAGCATGTCCAGGGGGTTGCACAGAGGACTTGTGTGATGTGAGCAGCATGTGTATGCATGCACAAGCTGTGCAAGGCACAGAGGGCTGCAGAAGCTGCAGGTGCCTGTGCGGGGCTGTACAGCATGCTGGAGCTGTGTGCAGGGCACACACTGGTAGGGATAGGCAGCCCCTTACCTTTGAACATGGGGCTGACCCTCCAGACGCCGAGGCAGCCCTGGCTGGCGAACTGCCCGAAGGAAAGCTCCATGAAGAAGAGAGGGATGCCGCAGAACACCAGCATGATGAAGTAGGGGAACATGAAGGCACCTGGCAGGCACAAACCGCAGTGTGAGCGGGCAGCACCCTGCACCCCCCAGCATGGCTCAGCAGCCCCAGCCCTCTTGGGCCCTCCAAAACCCATCCCCCCATAACACCCACCTCCCCCATTACGGTAGCAGAGGTACGGGAAACGCCAGACGTTGCCCAGCCCCACGGCGTAGCCCACGCTGGTCAGCACAAACTCGATCTGGTTGCCCCAGTTGCCACGTTTGACGCTCTTGTCCTGCTTACTGCGCTCCCCGGGCACGGCGCCGTTCTGTGGAGAGATGCCATGGGGAGCCTCAGCTGGGGGGGGCATCCTTATTGGCCCCATTGGAGGGGTGACAGTCGCCGAGCGGGGCTGGGTGGTCCCCTGCATCCTGCCCCATCCCTCCCCAGCGTGGGCTGCCCTGTGCCGGCACCCCCCCCACCACTCATGCACGGTTCCAAGGAGCAGGGGGGCAGCCCCCCTGCCCCACGCCAGCCCCGATGAATAGCTCTCCCTGGAGCCCGGCTGCAGGGAAGGAAGAGCCTGCAAGTCATACAAAGCAGGCTCGGGCGCCTGAGCACAAAGGGACCTCTGTTCCAGTTCCCCCACCCCTTGCGCCTGACAAGAGGGGCCCCGCTGGGTGGCCACTGCCCATGGCCGGGGGGGACCAGCAGACCCCCTGGGCTGTGCCACGAGGCAGGAGCCCCAGGATAGGAGTGGGGTGTGGTGATGAAAACACACGGGGGCTCCCCCCACCCCAGGAAAGGTATTCTGGAGCAGTCACCATCCTGTGCAGGATGGACAGCCCCTGGACCCAGTGTTCCTTACCATGGGGTGCTGGGAGGGGGGGGGGAGGCACAATGACGGGGTGCAAGAATAGGAGCTCTGTGTAGGCTGCGACAATGCCAGCTCACACCGGGGACGATGACAACAAAGGGAACAATAAAGGAAATGGGTGCCATCACACCCAGTGGAGATGGCACCCATGGCCCTGGGCTCACACCAACATCCTAGGCTGGGGGCAGGCGATGCTTCGGGAGACCGCTATGCACCCCAAAATTCTCCCACCTCACCTAAAGGGGACGCATGGGATGGGAGCAGCGCAGGGTGCCGGGTTCTGCAGACCCCCCCGTGCCCCCTGCCATCTCCAAGCAGGGCCACAAATGGAGCCGTCGCTTTGGATCTGCTCACGCCGGCGGGGCGCGGGCAGCAGGCGCAGTGCACCAAACCGTGTCATTCGATTAGGGCCGGCGCAGGCGGGACGTGATGCCCGGCGACTCCGGCACCGCGCTGCCAAACAAAGCCATCTGCTGCGAGCGGGGCCTGCACGCGCCGGGGGCGGCGGGGGGGCTGCGCAGGCAGTGGGATGTGCAGGAAGGCCATGGGGGTGATTTGGGGTCGGGCTGTGGGGCGGTATGCTGGCTGCGCATATCGGAGTGCCCGTGCCCATGGTACCCCTCAGATGTCCCCGCATCGCCCATTGGCACTGGGTGAGAGGACCCGGGCTGCCCCAGGGTGGGGCTTCTCTCATTGGGTCCTGGGGGTCCCCAAGTGTGGGGTGGCACTGTTCCCATGCTTGGGTGTATTCGAGCGGGTTAATCCCATTGGGAAACCCTGACAATGCCACCGCAATGCCTGCATCTAACAAGCCTTGCTCAGCTTAATGAACAGCACAGCTGACAGAGGGGGGCAGCACACCAGCCTCAATGGGAACAGGTTTTGGGGGGGAGTGCTGCACAACCCCAGTACAGCCAAGTGTCCAAAGGGGACCTCAGCCCCATCCAAAAGCTGAAAAGTCTGTCCGCTCTACTCCCTCTGCTTGGGTGACCCTCACCTGCTGCCCCCATGGGGCACCCCAATGTTAAGGCACCTGGCACCAGTGCTCTGAGAGCATTGGTCCTCTGGCACCCCACTCTGCAGCACAGGGCTTGGGCATGTGTGTCCCCAATAAGATGAAAGCCACACGTGTGCCCATGCATGCACACGTGTGCACACGCATGCATGCTCACCCATCAGCCCACTACAAGCCCCCCCCAGTCTGGGAAGGTCATCCTGTCCTTTACACTCATTAACTGCCCAGCTGCATGGCACAAAGGGGGGACCCAAATGCCTGGTAGATGAGCCTCCTCCTGACTTCACACTGTAGGTTTGGAACACTATGTGGGGCAAGGATGCAGGATTCTACTCCCACTCCCCACATTTTCTATGGATGTGCAGCCCCAAGTGCATGCACGGAGGGGACCCCAAGCATTTGGGGTGCACCCTTCTTCCCAGGGACACGTGGCAAAAGCATTCCTGGGTCCTACAGCGCAGGCACCATCCATCACGGTGCCTGGCACTGCAGTCTTTTTCATGCTAAGCAGAGCTGCCGCGCACAATGGCAGCTTGGCTGGGGTGCCCGGATGCCCCCCACTTCCCAAAGGGGCCATCCCTTCTCCCTGATTTATGGCTGGGAAACCGATGGCTGTGGGGGGGTCCTTCCGGCAGCGGGGGTCACATGGGAAGGGGGTGTCCCTGTGGGGCAACGAGTGGAGGCAGAGCACCTGGGGACTTCACTGTGTCTGCAGTGTGGTTTCCCCCAATTTATTAAATCGTCTCCATGGGGGTATGCCAGGCCACCAGAAGCATTTATCAAGTGCCTCACCAACTCCACCTGGATCGGGGTGGGGAGAGGGGGCAGGTCGTATCTAGGTGCCCTCATTGGGTGCCAAGGCTACTTCAGTGCCAAGCAGGGTGTCAGTCACCCCCTGATGTCGTTTGTCTGACATCGCATGCCAGGCTGTGTGGAGCTGGAGCTGCCAGAAGGTATACATAGCTCTTGCTCACAACAGCCATAGCAGCCGTCCTAAGGTTTCCCCCGGGATAAGCAGGGCAGCCCCCGCCTGGGGAAGGGTCTCCAGGGATCGGGTGACTCAGAAAAGAGTCCCAGGAGCAGAGGGATGGAGCCAATGGGAAAGAGATGTTCTTGGTGCCCTCACCCACCAGCTGGGACTCCTGAGTGCCGTGGGACGAGGGGCACCCTATAATTACCCCAGGTACCTGGGCCCTGCTCTCACCTCCCCACTGACCTGCTGGCAGGGACGGGGGGTCCTCACCTGCCCTTGGCTGTCACCTGGGGGGCCAGGCAGGCCGGCTCCATGCGACCCCGTCTTCATCAGCGCTTCTGGCTCCTACACAGCAGCAGCTGCTTGCCTGCGTCCCCCTGCCCGCTGCCTCCAGCGCTTGGCATCACGTCCCGCTTGGCCCCTTTGCCCACGAGCTGTGCCCCCGCCAGTCAGGGGGGGCAGGAAGGGGAGGCACAGCGCGCAGCTCACATCCTGCTTAATGAGGCCTCATTAGTGGGGTCCAGCTGTTTGCAGCAGGCACGCTCCAGCAGGCAGAGCTGCCCTCCCTGCGGGATTCATCCTGCCCACGCAGCCCTTGGCTCCTTCCCACACCGCAGCACTGGCCACGTCCCCTCGCTGTCCCTCATGTGCTGGCTTGTTCCCATGCCCCCAGCCCCACACAGATGTTCCTGCTCCATTTCCATCACAGGGATGCCATTCAGCCTTGCACTCCGTCCCCATGTGTGTGGGCACGCCTGGGACCTGGCACAGCCCAACACGGGGATGGGGCACTGGGACAAGCCTGCCCGGTGGCACAGCCCCAGCCTGGTCCCACGCCACCTTATCCAGACGTCATCCAACATCATGGGGTCTCTGCAGCCATCGTCACAAGGTCACTGCCCTGCGGGGGGACCATCTGCCTGGCAAGAGGGCTGCACCACAAGCCCTCGTATCACCTAGGCACCCCACAGCCCCACTGCTCAACCCTCAGCCCCACATTGCCTGGGGTGGGCCGGGACCCTCAGCAGGGTGCCACGTCTCACGGGGAGCCCCACGGCGATGCCCGGGGAGTCCCAGCTGCTCACAGCCCCGCGCCACGGCTGGGGAGCACAGCCAAGGCGGCAGCAAGGCGTGATGGTGTGCTGAAGGCAGGGGGACGGGCGGGCTCTTTCAGGAGACCATCTGCGGTCCGAGCAGCGGCAGCTGCGGGCGCACACGTGAAGGGCACACGTGTGTGGGGCGGGCGCTCGGCTCCCCGCACTGCACCCTGTGCTTGTCCCCATCCCCATCCTGCTTGGGATGCTCCCAGGCCATGAACACCCCTTGGTGCCAGTACTGGTGTCAGGGACAGAGCGACTCTGCCAAGCCCTCCACATGCAGCAGGGCATTCCCTGCAAGGTGCCCAAAAGAGCAACCCTGCCTCTGCTGCAATGCCATGTGCAGGCCACTTCTGTGCCATCACACATGTCCTTCTCTGGTCACAGCATCCCCCTCACCCCACACAGCATCCCTCAGTAGGTTGTCACCAACACGTCCCCATGTTGAGCCACAGGCATGGTATATCATGGCAAGAGCAGATACCTGGTGGTACCTGCAGCCCTGTGCCAGCAATGCCAAGCACGTGATCAGCTGATGGGGGCATCAGGGTCCTCTTGAGCCCATAGCTCCTGGTCACCTCTACCCCAAGCCAGGTACCCAGGGTAAGGACAGCGCCTGGGGACCAACCAGGTGCCACCATCCCTTAGCCGGGCACTCCACATTGGAGCTGCCTTCCTCCGGCCCCATTCTCATGGCATGGACACGATTCTCCTGGGGCGCTCAGGCAGAAAAATCCCCCGCCGGCCCCCCCACCTCTGCCCCTTGTTATTCCGGGAAGGGCTCCCGCAGCCAAGAGCCACTTCCGCGGCTCCACACGCTGCTGGCCCCCCTGCTTGGGACTGGCGGCACTGCGCTGCTGGGGGTGTCTGGGATGGGCAGGGCCCCTCCAGCTCCATAACCTCAAGGAGCACGGTGCCAGCCGTGCCCCCCAAACGTGGGATGGGAGATGGCAGGAGCCCACCTGAGCCACATGCCCCCACCCCCAGCACAAATGCTGCCTGGCCACGACAGCAAAGCTGCACTGCAAGTCAGGAGCCAGTGGCACGGCTGGAGCCCAAACAAAGTGCTCCAGCAAGAACAAAACAAAATGTCCTTAAAGGACAGCCGGGGAGAGGCTGTCACCCCCCTGTTTGGCCACACAGGGACTGAACCAGCTGCTGGAGCTGCCCTGCATCCTCTTGCCTGTTGGGCACCCACCACTCAACAGCATGACATTCCAATTGTACCAGGACTGACGAGTAAGCACAGACCCCCCAACCCACAGGTGGTGAAACTGAAGCACTGCTGCACATCCTGCAACAGGGGCGTAGCAAGCTTCAGCCATCTCTGTTACCCTGTCCCCCCCCCCAGGGTGGGCACCCTGAGCCCCATCATGCACACTCCAGCCCCGGAGGCTGTGCATGGTATGGGCACAACAGCAGGATTGTGTCGTGGGACCCCGTCCAGTCACGGGAGTTGCACCTGCTGGCAGGGATTAGAGGGCAGAGCCGGGGCAGCGCTTTGCCAGGCTGTTTGCACAGTGCTGGAGGCAGGCCAAGGAGATTAGCTCCCTTCCTCAATGACCCAGAAAGCTCCACAGCCAAGGTCCTGTCCTGTAGCACCTAACCTCAGGGCGCTCACAGCTGGTCCAGCGCAGGGATGCTCTGGCAGCAGGAATGCTCCCATGCTTCCCATGTTATCTTCCCAGTGCTGCTGCACTCTGCATCTGCCCAGCTAGGGATGCCCACAAATAGGGGAACAGCGCCTGTGGGACAAGGCTGCCAGCACAGTGTGTGCCATGCCCTGTGGTCACCCCTCTGTCCCCAGCATGCCCTGGCCCTGAGGTGAGCTGGGCAAAGACTTGCCAGCAGTGAGTCAAAGATTGATCAGGAGCAGGTGGGTGCTCCTGGTGCCAGGCTCACCCCGCTGTGCCACTAGGGTTGCTCCAGCAAGGGTAAGGGACACAGCAGTGGCACAGATGCACGGGGCTCATGGCAAATGTCACCCACATGCAGGGGCACCGATGCAGCACAATAAGGAACAGCAGAGCCCTGACTCAGCCTTCTGATGTCTTCTGCACCTCCCTGTTCCTAGCTGTAGCACAGCAGGAGAACTGGGGTCCTGCTGAGGGGCCACACTGGGACAAGCAGCACGGAGCCACACACGCACGCTGGAAGTGCCTGCTGGAGCACGCCGCTCCCCTGGCTCCCGGCTTCCCAGGGAAGTGCTGGCTGTGGGCCCTCTGGCTGGAGCGTGCAGCTATTTTGGGAAGCCCCCCGGGAATGGGAGGGCTCTGCAATCATGTTGGCACTGCAGCTCGGTTCACATCTATTGGGGAAAAGGAGAAGCCCAGCCCAGCGTGCGCTCACCTGCCAGATGCAGGATGCTCGGGGCAGCAGAGCTCCAGTTCCCTGTCCTCATAATGAGTCAGGGACAGCAGTGATGGGCATGGGGCCACTGCACCACACACATCTGCACCCGGACACCAAAGCTGTGTGCATGGGGCTGAGGATGGAGGATCGGTGCCTGGCCAGACCTGGCTCTACCTACATCCTATCTCACCGTGTGCACTGGCATGCAGGGAACGTGCAGGGAACCAGCAGGGAGGATGCTCAGGGTAATAGTCCCACTCCCTGCCACTGTAGAACCATGTGCCTGGCACAATGCACTGCGGGTGCTCTTTGCTGGACTCAGAGCATGCACAGCTTTCCCGCCTTCATGCAAAGAGCTGGGGTGGCTGATAAAGCAGCAGAACGCCTGAGCTGGGCGATAGCATCTCCAGGCACAGTGGGACACCACACCCGGAGCCTCGCGAGCGGCAAGCGATCGACCCCCAGCAGCTGCTCCAAGGAGCACCCCCGGCACCAAACCCCATAGGAGCCCTGGTGTCCCACTCCCTCACTCTAGGTCCGTCGCAGGGGCTCCCGGTCCCCGCATCGCAGCACTCACCAGCAGCCCCTCGCTGCACTTCTCGGCCATCCCTGGAGGCTGGAGCGCAATGCCAGCTGCCCGCTGCGGGGTCGCCGTCTTTCCGTCACGCTGGCACTTGCACGCTTCAATCCACTGTCAGAGCAAGCTGGGTAGAGGAGGGGAGAGAAAGCAAAAAGGACGTGACTGGTGGGGTGGGCACTTCCCCGCCCCAGGCCCCCCCTTCCATCCGGGAAGCTACGTGCCATGGGGGGCTGCCCCATACCTGACAGCAGGGTAGGCAGGAGCGGGGCTGGGGTCTCTCCTTGCTCCCACCCCTCCAGCCTCTCCAAAACCCCCAGCACCGCCACGATCGCAGCTCCCAGGTCTTTCCCAAGAAGCGGTTTAAAGATTTACCCGCTGGGACAGACGACCTTGTGGGCAGCTGGCAGCCGGGTGGGCGTTGGGGGCCCCGCACACTGTCCCCCAGCGAGAGCCAGAGCCGAAGTGGCTGCAGTGGGTGGCAGCTTCAGGACTGGGTGCTGAGCGGGGCCAGCACGGGGCTCAGCTGCCGCGGAGAACACAGATGGGAACCGATTGCCTTCTGCCCCGGTGCATCGCAGGCACGTGCGGCACAGGGGGGTTGAGCTGCGGGCTCTGCCGGGACCAGGTGCTGCTGCAGAGGGCATAGGAGGGGGCTGCGACCCCACAGACATTGCTTCTGTCCCATTCTTGGGGTATTGAGGCTGGGGGCACCTCAGTCAGACCACCCCAGGTCACTGATCCATGTAACAGTGCCGATCTGTGCAGATCTCACATTAGCACTCTGTGCCTTTGCTGGCTGGGGAAGGACCCCCAGTCTATGGGTCCCCGATGGGGGATGAGTGCCCCATATTGCTGTGGGTCTACAGCAATCAGCAGAGGGGCACAAGGCCCTGAAGCCATCGAGAGAGAGAGCGTGGATGACAGAGATAATGGGCAGGAGGCCAGAGGACATGGGGCAAGCCCCCAGCCCCAGCTGGAGCCGCTCAGGCACAAGCAGGCTGCAGCTCACAGATACCACTGCCAAACCCCTCCCAAGGTGGACAGCATTTCCCTGGGGGGATAAAATACTGTCACTGTAAGAGGAGGGCAAGCCCTGCTCCCTGTGTGCCGTGGGAATCTGCCAGAAGCGGGGGGCCAGTGGATAGATCTCCTCCTCACCGTGCACCTATCACCACAAGCCAAAGCCTGCCCACCCTGTAGCCCTGAATGCACCCCAGGAACCCATCACCTGCCTGTCACTAGAAAGGGCCCATGGGAAGGGCTGCCACTCCCCCAGGGGTCTGCCAGGCCCCGATAAGGCTGAGCTGTGTGTCTGTGCAGATGCTGTGGTTTGCTGCTGAGCACCCCGCTAGGCAGGCTAGCAGGGATGCAGGACTCAGGGATGCCAATGTGCAGCATCCTCTGGGCATAGGGTGACCCAGGATGCTGTGACAGCCCAGAGCGCCCATATCCCGAGACAGGATGGTGTCACACAGGGTCATATCGTGTCACCGCAGAACCCGGGTCACTCTCCCACGGGATGTGGCACCCGGGGGACCCAGCACGGCCGCTGCCACCTGCAAAGCCTTTTCCAACAGCAGCATCCCCATAGCTGCCGGGACTCAACGGCGGAGTACAGAGCCCGGCTCGCCCCGCACCCCTCATCGAGCCCCGGCAGCGATGCGATGCGCCCGGTGCGGCACGGCGGCGGCAGGGGGGGGGCCCGGTTACATCAGCCGCCACGTGGTGGCTGCTCCGCCGTTCCGCCGCCCCGCCCCGGCACATGCCCGTGGAAAATTACCGCCAGCCCCCCGGCCCCGCCACCGGGCCGGGCAGCGCCGCTCCCCGCCGCCCCCCCTCCGGTCCCCGGGCACCGCGCCGGGCGGCCCCGCGCTGCCCCTGCTCCGGGAGAGCAACAGATGCGGGACCGCCCCGCATCCCGCTGCCGCTATCCCGACGCCGGGGCCGCTCCCGGTACCGATCACGGTGCCCCCACCCAGCTCGGCCCCTCCGCCTCCCCCAGCCTCACCGCTTCCCCCGGCCCGACCGCCGCCGCCAGCCCCGCAACCCCCGGAGCGCCGCGCTGGCGTAACCCCGCGCTCCCATCGCGGTTCTCCCGCTGCAACCGGGCCGAACCGAGCAACCGATGCCGGAGGTGCACGCCCTTACCGTGCCCATGCCGCCGCCCGGCCCCTCCCGCCGCACCGGGTGGGCCCACTGAGGCGCCGCCGCGCCGCGCCCGGTCCGTAGCCGGTACCGATACCGGTGAACGCCAGGCCCAGTGCCCACTGCCACCGCCGGTGCTGCCGAGTTAATGAAAGTTTGGAGGTCGGTGGGGGCTGGCACCGCCTCTCGCCCCCGCCGCCGCGCTCCGCCTCCCGGCGCCTCCGCGCTCCCCAGCGGTTTGCTCCGGTACCGGCACCGGGGGCAGCGGGGGCACCGGGCACGCACAAACACGAGTGCACGCCCGTGCATAACAATGCACATACATGTAGAAGCATGCACACGCATGCACATGCAGCCCACAGGCTCGTGGGCCCCACGCAGGCTCACACATGCAAACGTGGGCATGTGTGGGCCACACAAGCGCAGGCATCCTGAGATGGGGCATGCACACACATGCGTCTGTTCACACCCAGCCGCAGCACAGCACAGCACACCGGGAATGCTGCACACAGTGGATCCCACACTGCCAGGGCACGGCACAATGATGGCACTTGGGAATGGTCGTGGGAGCTGGCAGGGATGTGTGCGAGTAACGTGACCGTGGTACAGATGTGTGTGTGCACATACATGTGCACATGTGTCCCTTTTGTGAGTGTCCATGCATATGTCCATGCAGCAATTGTGTGTGCACATCTGTACATGTGTACTTATGTGTGCATGAGTGTACACGCATCTGGATGCATGCATACTTAAGTGTGCTTCTGCAAACCTCTGTGCCTTATATATATGTGTGTGTGTAGAAGCACATGAGTGTGCATGCATGTATCTACTGACAAATCTCTCCATGTGCATGGGTGCACATGTGTGTGCAGCCAGCACTCGCCCCCGCAGCCCAGGCTCGCCAGATGTTTCCAGTAAGGCATGACGGGTGCGCCTGGGGCCGTCCCTTGCCCGGCCCCTCACAGAGGCCTCCCCTTCCCTCCCCTCCCCTCCTTGACAGTTCCACTTATGCTGGGATGGGTGTCTGCATCCCAGCACCCTGCCCTTCACCCTGGATCCCACTCGGCTTGCAGGGCCCCATGGAAACCCCCTTGGAAACCCAAAGCCATTGCCTTAAGCCACAGCTGCACCACCCCCACATCTCCATATCCCCACATCCCCACTTCCCCATTCCCCCATGTCCCTGTGTCCCTACTGGGGAGCATCCCTTACCTGACCCTGCACCGATCTGTGCTATCCCTGCAGGTTGCTTCCTGCTTAAGGAAATCCCCAGCACGGGATGGGGCAGAGGCAGGGCATCAATGGGGTGTGAGCAGCAATGGGAGGGGGTTCCAGTGTGTCTGGTATCTACCCAGTGCCCTGTGCGCACATGCTGCCAGGGGCTGCAAGGATGGGAGACGGCGCGTCACTTCGTCAGTGCTTTCGTTTTGCAAGTGCAGCAGAGCCGGACCCACAGCACCCATAGCAGGAAGGGGAAGGCGGCAAGGCGGCAGTGAAACCAGCGGGTGCTCAGGTCCTCCCACACCCTCACAGCACCTGCGCATGGCTGCTCTGCACCAGACACCATGGAGCCCGCAGGCAGCCTTGCTCCTGGCTGCACTGGGCTTCAAATGCAGCATCTCACATCTGGCATACCATGTCCCACGTGCTGCATCCCACATCTGGCATCCCATATCCCAAATACAGCATCCTGTGCCTGTCATCCTGTCTGAAGCAAGACCAGGCTACAGCTCCCACCCCTGTCCAGTGGTGTGCAGGATGGGAGCAAGCTCTGGCATCTGCTCACATCCTCTGCTCATTGCTCTCCTCCAAGCAGGAATTGTCCTCCAAACTCCACTTTCTCCAAGCCCCCACTCCCTCCCACCTTTGCTATCCATCCTCTGGTCTGACCAGTGGTGGGAGCGGCTCCTCTCCTCTCCTCTCCTCTCCTCTCCTCTCCTCTCCTCTCCTCTCCTCTCCTCTCCTCTCCTCTCCTCTCTTCTCCCCTCCCTTTCCCTCCCCTCCCCTCCTCTCCTCGCCTCCATCTCCATGGGTGCTGTTTCCTGGGGAACTGTGGGTGAATGCAGGCAGACATCCAGAGGGGTGAAAGGTGTGGAGGAAATACCAGCTCCTGGCACTCATCAGCTGGGCTGGCCGAGAGGACAGCAGCTGTTGGAGATTTTCATCACGCCAGACCTGTGGCACAGGGCTACAGAGATCTCCTAGTGCTTGGAGCCATGGTGTATCCAGGAGCTTCTGCTTGAGTTTTTGCATGCCACACATGCAGTGGGACAAAACACAACCCCTGTGTGCTCAGACAGAGATGGACTGTGCATAACTGGAGCTGCATCACAACACACTCCCCCAGCACTGCCGTGATGGTCCATCACCAAACCCAACCCCATTTCTTTTCAACCAAGCCTTGGAAGGGGCTGCCAGCTGCCCTGGCTGCAGGCTGGTGACCACAGTCTGTCATCCTGGTCCCCCAACTCCCTGATGGACCCTGAAGAGGGACTGGACAGTCAAGGAATGCAGTGTCGTTGGGATGGGAGACACCCCCAGCCCCCAGGGTGTGCAGATCCCATACAAGGCTGCGGCAGCAGCTGACACAGCTCTGCAACTGGATGCATCCTCTCTGATGATGACAAAGCCCACTCAGCATCATCAGGAAGGACCCAGCTAGGGAGAAAGGGGCAGCCCCAGGGAAGACCCTCCTCCTCATTTCTTTCTTCTCATCTTTTATTTCCGCTCTACATGTCCTCATCCTGCCCAGCACACGAAAAAAAGGCACTGGTTTGTGACAGCATGGTCACACGGCTCCAGAGATGGGATCGGAGCTGCCAGAGAGCACCCGAACCATCCCTGATCTGCCACTTGGTGGGAACACTCCCCTAAAGGAACTGGCATGGGGGGCAATGCCATCATCCTGAGCTGCCGCCACCTCACACCTCAGCTCCATGTCCTCACTGTGTTACACTGTGTTTTGCTCCCCTGCCTCGCCTCACCCTGCCTCGGGCTGTGCCAGCAGCTCACCCCCCGGGCTGCTCGATTCAGCCAAGTGCTGCGGTCTGGGCAAGTGCCAGGGCAGGCGAGTGCCGCGGGGCTGGGAGGAAGCACCACGGGCACCCTGACGCCGTTGGTGTCCCCAGCAGCGCAGCCACGGCTCCTGGGGACTTTCCACTCGGTGTCTGCCGATGGCATGGAAAAAACCCTCGCAGAACGTCCAGCCTGCTCCAACAAGCAGGGAGGTGCTTGAACAACCCCCCGTGACACTCCGGGTTTGATGGTGATGAAAGAAGGAGCCGTCCCACTGTGCTGCCCCGTGCTGCCCTCCCCACCTTGGCAACACGCAACACTCAGCTTGTGTTTCACCCTGCAGACATGTGCACCCTGCGGGACTGCCCCAAGCGCAGACAAGGGCTGCATTGCTGGGAGCTGAAGTTTGGCTGTGGGTCCCACAGCCGTTGTTCCTCCTGCTACCCAGCTGGGAAGGACAGAGCTGAGCATCACCCACACCAGCCGCAGCAAGCTGCCTTATACTTGGGACATGGCTGTTTGCTGGGTGCAGGGTGCTGGGGACCCCACAACCCAGTGAAGCAGCCCTGTCCCTGCTGCCGCCCGATCTCTGCATTGAAGCAAGCACGACAGCTGGGGTGCCTTGGGCTGCCCAAAATAGCTGTCCCCTCTCCCCCTGCTGCCTGGCCGCTGGCAGCTCTCCCAAGACAGCGCCCTGCGGACCTGGAGCAGCTGGAGACGGCTGCTGCCCCGCTGCTGCACTCAGCTCATCACCCCACTGCTGGCTGTGGGGCACCCCAGGGTGGGATGGATGAGTATTGCCCTGAGGACTGAGCACCAAGCAAAGCTCTGCCCCAGTGCACCCATGGGTGCTCTGTCCAGGAGGGTGCGTGAATGCCTGGCAAAGATGCAGCCATGGAGGTTGTACAGCGGTGCAGGTCTCTGATGATGCCCGTCTCCTCTTCATCCTCGAGGCAGTGAGGAGGAATGCTCCTCCCATGGTGCTTCATTCTGCATGATAGAGGGCTTTCACTTCCCCATGGGACACAGATACAGAGCAGATACTCACGCAGCCCTCTCTGCCATGTCATGCCTCTGACCTGTGCTGAAATTCCCTGTGGAGAATTCGGCCAAGAGTGCCTGGGGCTGGAGCATGGTACAGAGCAGGGGGGATGCAGCGACACTAAGGGAAGGCTGGGAAGTAGTTTAACTTCCAGTGGTTCTGACACCCTGCTCCAGAGCGTGTGCTGGCATGGTCCTGCCCAGGAGATCTTCATTCCAGGAGTCAGTGACCTGTGTACCAGTTGCCCTGGGCAGGCTCAGACCCGTGCTGTGGGTTTCCCCTGGCTATGGGATAGGCTGGGCCACGTAATGGGAACGAGAGCATGCCTTGAGCTCCCTCTCAGCGCCTGCACGTGTGTGCCTTCCTCTGAACAGTTCTGCATGAACATTCTTCCCTTCGGTATAAGTGATGAACCGAGTTGTTATTTATTTCTTCTAAGAAAATTCTGCAACAGCTGAAGTGACCAAAAGCCCAGGTCCGGAGGGGCTGTGGGGCTGCAGCGGGGATGTGCCAGCCTGATCCCATAGGAGGACTGGGGTCCGTGATCCTCCCGGAGTAGGGCCGGGTGACCGGTGCTCCCGGCGCCGGAGGGCAGCGCAGCAGCCGAGCTCCCTCTGCGGACAGCTTCTGCTCACTGCATCCATTTTTTTCTCCCTTCAGGGCTGGTCACAGCAGATAAAATCCAAATGGCCCCACTTTGTGCTGCTGGATGTCCACAAGCATGAAAACAAGTGCCTTTGCCTTGTGCCCAAGGACAAGCATCCTGCGGCGCACGGCCAGGCTCTGATCTCTGTGTCCCTCCGGCCAGCCCAGTCGATCGGCTTCACAGCTCCTGATGTGACTTGGCAGCAGTAAGCAAACGGGGAACAGAGGGGACAGCAGGGCTGGGAGGGATGGCCCTGTGGGAGCACCCCGTGTGCATGGTCCCTGTGGAGTGAACATGCAGAGCCCTGTAGGGTGGTCTAGTCTTGAGCTGAGAAAGCGGCATTTTGGGGGGGATTTGGTGAAGGAGGCAGGGGTTGTGGGATTGCCTCGTGGCAACCAGACGTTGCCTGTCCAAAGCTACGGGGTCCGTTTGTGGACGAGGAGCCCGTTTGGTGGAGGCACCGGGAGGTGTCTCGGCGAGATGCTGGGGCGGCGGCACGGCCGTGGAGCAGGGGCTGCACCCGGTTCTGCGACCAGCAGAGGGGGACAGACACCGGGCGGGGATGCTCCTGGCGGCTCGGCTCGGCTCAGCTCGGCTCGGCTTGGCTCCGATCGGTTCTCTCTAAGCAGCTGAAAGCAGGACGAGCAGCTGAAAGGGATGCAAAGCTTATCTGGAGGTGATTTGGGGTCAAGATAGATGCAGATCTGAAGTCCCCTCCCATGCTGGCACCCCTGTCCCCTCTGCACAAGCAGCCGTGCCCGTACACGATGCCAGACTCATCCTGCCCTCCTCTAGAAGTGCCACTGTCCCCATACCCACACCTTGCACCCTATGTTGTGTGCCAATCCCAGAACACAACTGCTGTATGCCCAGTGTCCAGGCTGACACAGGCTGTGCCAGGAGCCCAGCTGCCAACTCTGGATGGTGCTGGGTGTGTCCCCTGCTAAATTTAAAGGACTCTGCGGTATAAATATCCTCAACTGTAAATAAACACAAAGCCTAGATGTTTATCGGGGCCTTCCTGGCAGCCTCTCTCCATCCAGCATGCCGGGCATCCTGTGCTGTCACCATGGTCTTCCCCAGGCTACCCCCTCTGCCAGCACATGGCCAGATCCTGTTGAACCTGATGAGAACCCAAGGACAGGGTCCTGCCCCTTGCCATGGCCCTGCCCTGATCCCACCAGACCCTCAAGGGGAAGGTCAGGAGATGCTGACTCTGGCTATATGGCAGCAGGGAGCAGAGATGGCCTTGAGCCCTGTGCTGCTCACTGTGGAATTGTCACCCTGGAACTTGCTGTGGCTGGTCCAGGGCTCTGCCTGGCCCCAGGGACCACCTAGCACAGCCATCCCTGGGGACTTGTGCCACTACCATGGTGGTGGCTGACCTGCCACAGCTCTCCATCACCCAGATCCTAGTGCAGCCCTTCTCCAAACCCTCTGCCTGAGCATCCTTTCATGAGAGCCATAGGGGAAGCTCTGATGGGGATGCAGCCTCGAGCAACACCCTCTGTGCCATGCCATGGGGTGGCAATGGGACATGACAGGCACACTTGGCTGCACTTGCAGAGGTGTGAAGGAAAACTGCTGGCACGTCAGCACCTGGTAAAAGTTCACCAGAATTTGCTTGTAGCCAGTCCTTGGCACTGGCAAACTGTTGCCGGCTGGCTCACTGCTGTCTTCCTCACCATCTGCAGCCCGGGGTTAATGAGTAGCTGCAGGGTACACAACTGGAGGGTCATTAAACAGCAGTTGAACAAGATGGGGCTGCCAGCAGCACTTGAACAAAGGGGGCTG